TGAGTCCGGCACAAATTAATAAACAAATACACATAAATATATACTAAGATTGAAATACATGTAAGACAAATATATAATATCTATATTCTACTTAACTCATAGGAATCAAATGTATAAAATGCAATTAATAAGTTTGACATATGATGACAAAATGTAATAAAAGACACAATACACAAAATAATGTTTTATATTATATATTTAATTAACTAATATGACACAATAAACTATATCGATATGCATAGAAAAATATATGAAATATTTAGAAGAAATGTGCGGTCCATTCCGAAATCTAAAAGTTTAGAGTGGATTTATTGCAGCGTAATAAAAAACATCGTAACATGGAAGTACGTGACGGCCAATCAGCACCCAGGTGGAGAAAATATCATTAAAATTACAATTCAGATGAACTTTTAAGTATTTTCGCTTTGTTCAGCATCGTGTCACTTTCAGCTTTGAGTGTGATTATTATTAAAGTGTGTGTGTGTGTGTGTGTGTGTGTGTGTGTGTGTGTGTGTGTGTGTGTTGCCTTTTTTTTAACCCGGGCATCTTAATGACGCCGCTGCTGAGTCAGCAAAAAAACGCCGCGCGGCGGGAAGAGGATGAGCGATGGAGAGTTGGACGGGCGACGGAGGCGAGAGGAGGAAACGGGGGATGGAAGAAAAAAGAAAATGGATGGAATGTGTGAAGAGAGATTTATAAGTTTAACTGAAGCAGAGGTGATAAAAATGAGGATTCGCTCCTTTTCCTTTTTTTTTTGCCGCAAAAATGTCACGTTTCATTGTACGCCTTACATGAGTGTGAGTGTGTGTGTGTGTGTGTGTGTGTGTGTGTGTGTGTGCCAGGCCCATGCCAGCCGGTGTGTGTGTGTAAACAATAGAGTTGATTAGGCGTTGCGTGGCAGTGACAGCGCTGAGGGGAGATGATTAATGATTCTCTGTTTAATGTGATTAGTCCATTAATACCTCCTGTGATGGCTCAGACTGGCTAACGCCGGGGAAAGGTCAGCGTGCGCACACACACGCTCACACAAACAGACACACACACACACACGTAATGAATCATTAGGGAGGTCAAAGAAAGCAGTTGTGTTAGTTACTGTTCATTTTCATTTTTTTTTAAAGCGCTAAATTCTACTTTCAACGCTTCTCGGCGCTTCGGTTCACGGGTAGCTCGGTTAGCTTGGTTAGCTTAGTTAGCTCGGTTAGCGCGTGGCTAAATAATGCTGCGTTTACTCCTTCTTAGTTGCCGCCATTAACACCAAGCAGCATGTTTGACCAAAACAGGTTGCAGGAAACATTCGGAATTTGAATTTTTGAGCAATATATGTATATATAGATCTTTTAAAATATATTTTATATGTTTATATATTTTTGTTTAAGTCGGTTGTCGTTGTTGTGCTTTATTGTGAGCGCGGACCAAGAGAACCTTCTGCTCGGCTCGTTTGGGGAACGGGGTTCACGTTCTTCCAGGTGGGCTTCCAGCTTTCCAATCAAGCCTCTCGCTACCCGGAGAATTACCCCTTTCCTCCTCCTCCTCTTCTCTCTGGCACGTTTGAGGAGGAAACTCAGCCGCGGCGCCAGTTGTGTCTCCATGGAGACCAGTCTGTTTACCAGCAGACGCACACGGCCGGTGGAACCTCAGGTAGCGTCGCGCATTCTTTAATGTGGAAACGGACGAAAAACTGTAGAACTAATCAGCTGTGAAACTGACCAATAGTTAACGTTGTGTTGGTGTGTGTGTGTGTGTGTGTGTGTGTGTGTGTGTGTGAGAGTGTTAATCCAGCCAGTATAGTTAATATGTTGTTCTCATACTCTATTAGCTACTGTTGACAGCTGATGATTGATCTTCTCATCATTTTTCCCTCCAACACCCTGCGGTGACGGTGTGTGTGTGTGTTTATATGTGTGTGTGTGTGTGTATGAGAGAGAATAAAATCTGCAAAGTGTGTATGTGTGTGTGTGTGTTTAAACTTGACATCTCGTCTGATTTTTTCCTTGTGAAATGAGGTTGTTGGTTTAGTTTCATGCTGTTAAAGGTATATAAATATGTATATTTATATATTATATATAATACATAAATATATATATATATATTTATATATATATATATATATTTATATATATATAATATATTTAATATATTTATAATATATATAATATATTTATATATATACTTCCTCTTCTGCTAAACAAATAAAGACTCTCACTCGATTCCTAAATACTTAAAATGTTAGAAAAATCTGGTCCTTGACTTTTAACCAGGCGGCTCTATAAAGTGAAGTCAAAGCTTCACGTGTTAAAGCTGCATTCTCTGCAGTGACCAGCAGGGGGCGACTCCTCTGCTCCCATAGACGTCTATGAGAAAATGACTCTACTTCTCTGTAGTGACCAGCAGGGGGCGACTCATCTGCTCCCATAGACGTCTATGAGGAAATGACTCTACTTCTCTGTAGTGACCAGCAGGGGGCGACTCCTCTGCTCCCATAGACGTCTATGAGGAAATGACTACTTCTCTGTAGTGACCAGCAGGGGGCGACTCCTCTGCTCCCATAGACGTCTATGAGGAAATGACTCTACTTCTCTGTAGTGACCAGCAGGGGGCGACTCCTCTGCTCCCATAGACGTCTATGAGGAAATTACTCTACTTCTCTGTAGTGACCAGCAGGGGGCGACTCCTCTGCTCCCATAGACGTCTATGAGGAAATGACTCTACTTCTCTGTAGTGACCAGCAGGGGGCGACTCCTCTGCTCCCATAGACGTCTATGAGGAAATGACTCTACTTCTCTGTAGTGACCAGCAGGGGGCGACTCCTCTGCTCCCATAGACGTCTATGAGGAAATGACTCTACTTCTCTGTAGTGACCAGCAGGGGGCGACTCCTCTGCTCCCATAGACGTCTATGAGGAAATGACTCTACTTCTCTGTAGTGACCAGCAGGGGGCGACTCCTCTGCTCCCATAGACGTCTATGAGGAAATGACTCACTCTTCATTCATTTAGTGGATTATGGTCCATTTAGAGTCAAACAGACCGTAAAGCTGGGGATGCTTGAGGGCGGGGCTACACGCTGATTGACAGGGTCAACTTTTCCACTAACATTAATTTTGCAAGTTGTGGTGGATTTCTATAATTATGACAACATCTTGTGATTGCGTTTCCCTTTAGTGTCGCTGCCACCAGCAGGAAGTCGGAGGACGTCTCTGCTGTGATGTGGCTCACCTGATGACCTTCCGCCGCTGTTTTATGGCG